TTTCTTGTGTAAGGAAATGTCAGCTGGAGCTCTGTAAATGGATTGGCTAGCAAATAAAGCCGAGAGCACCAATGTTGGCTGAAACTAAAATGCTCTTCATGCAATATTGCCTATTAAAAAAGTAAAAGAAATTTAGAACATAAATACAAAACCATACATGTTCCCTTTAAAGCCTTAGCACGAACTATCCCAATTTACAAGGGAACACATATATTTGAGGTGGAGTTTTGCTTTAAATATGAATCCACAAAGTCAGAATGCGACTTGTTATTGAGAAGAGGAGATTATCAGCCCCAGACATAGTATAGGCGGTGGCCCAGCCGGCACACTGGAAATGCATTGTCAGCAATACAGTACAGTCATGGAAAGTTGTGTATTTAGGTCTATAGAGGAGGATTATGTTGCACTAGAAAGCAGTAACTGCATTCAGCCAGAGATTAGTTGCTCTAGTAACTCATTTTACAGCGGCTACACAGGAAAAAGAAAAAAAAAGCCCACGGGGCTGAAAAAACACAGTTTGGTTCCCTATCCATGCTAAACAGTGTGATGGAGGAATCTCCCTTGCTGGCCATTATATTCTGGTACTGCAAAGAAGTGGAATAAAAGCCCAGGACCGGCACAGGTTTGTCCTAGTGGTGTGGCTGCCCAATTAGGATGTGAAAGAGTCTGTGTAGGTGATCTGACTACCAGACAAATCCTGAGAATCTGAAATCCCTCAGAGGCGCTGGAAGGAGTCTCTTGCTATCCTTTATGATAGAACCAACTTGATTTGTAAGCAGCTCAATTGGTTATGGTTAGGCAGCACAAAGGCGCACAGTCTCCAATAGGAGGTACCTGGAGCACCTCTTTTCTGTGCTTCACTACCAGACAGGCAGCTTCTACATTCCAGATGGAGAGATCTCCTCCATCTCCTTGGTTTGTAGTGTCAAACTGCATTATTGTGAATTGAAGAGCCACACTCCCTTTAATAGTCCAGATACATTCAATGTAAGGTTATAGGGACAGTATAGAATAGCCAGCGTGTTTCGGGGGCTCATTCCAATACCCCCTTAATCAGGGCTTAGGAAGAGAGACCATGTCTCAGGACTGCGATGGCTTGAAATCAGATACCATTTTGTCCAGCTCTTTGCACACACTGGACAAATTGGTCCAATTTCAAGTCATCACAGTCCTAATACAAGTTCTCCCTTAGTATTCCCTGATGAAGGGGGTATATGTATGAACCCGCCAAAACCTGCTGGCTTTTTCAATACAATACCTAGTATTTCATTTCAATGGAGCAGTGAAGTTGCGGGAGACATTTAAAGGAAACTGCATGACTGATACACAGATTACCTTTAAGCAGCTCCCACAAAAATGGCTGAATTCGGCAGGTAGGTTTTGCATGATAAGCAACAGTTTTAGCTCGGTTCGATTCAGAGCTGTGGTTACTTACAGGCAGATTAAAAATGATCAGAAAGAGGTTATAGCCAAGTTCATTCGCACCATACATGCCGTTTAGTGTATTAAGCTGCTGAGTCTCGCATACAGGCTGTGATAAAGGGCAGGACAGAAAGAAAGATGGAAGCATCAACCGGTGCTGCTTGCAATGCTCCTGCTCCTACCTTGCAAGTCTTTCCTTATCCGCTGAACTCTGCTCATCATCTGACCT